CCACCAGGTGGCGCAATTTCAGTTTTGCACGTGAACTTAAAGTGATTGACCAATGGGGTTGCTTGCTTCGTTTCCTGCCATTTTTTATTGGTCGAAGCTTTTAGGTACGTAGGCGTACGTTTTGGACTCTGCTTTTGTTAGGTTGGAAAGGTAAGGACAATGGATGAGTCCACATTACAACAACTATTGAACAATTTTCAGAAAGAAATATTCCATTTCAACACTGAACTCTGAACATTTACTCAGACAAATCTTTTTTAAGACATTTCCTACAGTTAAGGGGAAGCTACTTTTTTCTCCTTTCTTTCACTCATATTACAACTACTTGTATTATTTGTTGAGTTTAATATATATATTTCTTATTTAAACAAAATTGGCTCTCATTGTTCTCTTTTTACCTTGATGTTTAAATTTAATATATGGATGTTGATTATCTTGCAACACGCAGCCGCATTTATATATTTGATCAGCCCGACTACTAATCACACCATAACAATTACAATTAAACGAAAAATAATAGGGAAAAAAGAACACGAGCCCATAATAAACTTTATTATATTCAAAGGTAAAAAAACAAAATAAATACCAAGCAATTATTACAATTGAGCAAAACAGTCTGTTACCATTAAAATTTTATTCATCTTTAAATCCATAAAATTTGTCGTCTTCGTTATCAAAATTTTCAATAATTACTATCATCCTCGTTAAATAATGCGTCATCTTCCGTACCATTGAAAGCATTTTTAATGCCACGCTTTTTAAATGAGTTTACAACAATTTCTGGTTTAATATCATCCCAAGGTTACTTTACCCATTCGCAGATGTGAAATGCTGGGTCTTTTTATTCTTCCTGTAAGTGTAAGGTCGTGATCAGGCATTGTCATCCACGTGTTCCATTGCTCTTTCATGTTTAAGTGTAGGCTAAAAGAAGTTGCCAGGTAGCTAATTTCGGTCGGCTATCGCGAATTTTAAACCCACATATGACATATAAGACGCGGGGGAATTTTCAAAGATATTTTTAGTAAAAAAGGTGCACATCAAATACGCCATGAAATTCGGTAGTTACCGTTTGTACTGTCTTGTATAAAGGGAAATAACCCATAATACAAAATACTGAGTTAGCTCCCTTCGTTATTTAAAATGTATCGATTTATTTGAACATCATTAATGTAAGCAAGTTTCTTTTAGCAAAAATTAAATAGAAAAACCCTGTCCGTTGTATTTAATCAAACCTATTTAGATGGATACTTGCTGCGTAAATATACTACTACTACTAATACTACTACTACTACTGCTACACATACGCACACACACGCGTATATATATTATATTGAAGGTGAGATTAAGTAGAAAATTTTTTAAACAAAGACGCGTTTCGCTGGAGAAAAGCTTATGTTCTTTTTGTCGTCATCAGTTCAACTAAAAGAAGAAAGATAAAAACTATGTATTAGACGAGTGGGGCCTTTGAGAATAAGTTGTTTGTCATAAATTTAGATATGTACGTGTTTGTATGCATTGAATTACCAAAGCATTAAGACCAGTGACATGTAACATGGATGACTGCTACTGTCACACAACAGTTGCATTATAATATCTGTCAGTATTCTAGGGATACACTTTGCAAGGACCTTTGAGTGAGTGCCTTAAGCTGCAGGCTTTCATGGAGTTTTGCAGGCGTGATATTTTTGTCAGCCGTAATGAGATCATGAAACTGGTCTTATGCTCATACATAAAAGCAGCTGGCCTGCCACTCTGAGGCCCGTCACTAAGTTCACTTTCTCATTTCTCCCTCGGATTACTCTGCCGAATCATCGCCTTACGGTGCTTACCGTTCAGCATTTCAATAACTATTCACTGATCTACTGAGAATGTTTCCAACACTTTCTCTTTCAAAAACATAAATTATATTTCAGATCTTGGCTTCCGTGTATTTTCAAAGGTGCATTAATTCTGAAAGAAGTTTATGGAGAGAAAAAATATAGAAATTTCTTCTAGGCGTCTAGATATTTTTTTTGCTTTTTGGTTTAATAAACTCTAAAAATTAGTTAGAAAAGGCATTACTTTTTAACGGACTATTTCTCTCGCTCTCTCTGTCAGTCTCTCTCTCTCTCTCTCTCTCTTCCCTTATATATATATATATATATATATATATATATATATATATATTTCAAACTTAGTATAAAGAAAGACGCAAAATGAAGAAAACAGAAAGAGTAGTTAGTTGCTGAAATCTCCTGGCGAGTGGATTGAACAATTTTTATTTGTAGTAATATATATATATATATATATATATATATATATATATATATATTTTTACTACAAAAAAAATTATATATATATATATATATATATATATATATATATATATATATATATATATATTACATGAATCATTCATACAAAAAACAAATATAGAAGTTAATGATTTGTTTTTTTGTATGAATGATTCATATAATTATAAATTGAACTGCACCTATAATCGAAAATATATATATATATATATATATATATATATATATATATATATATATATATATATATATATATAATGTTGTAGCCTTGTTAGGGCCAGAAATAAAGACACAAAGTGAGTTAAACAAATATATTAACAGAAACAGTAATACAAACATATACAAACGAGTGTGTTACAGCAAGAATGTTCGGTCCAACTGTCAGAGCTGACTGCAGGAAACTTCCCTCTCCAAAAGGCAGTACCTGCTCCTATTTATATCTGGGAGAGTCCATGCGTGCATGGGTAAATTACCATAACAATGTATATATATATATGTGTGTGTGTGCGTGGGGAGAGAGAGGAGAGAGAGAGAGAGAGAGAGAGAGAGAGAGAGAGAGAATTAATAAAAGTAAATGTTTGTAAATGATGTTACCTTCATCATCCCGACTTCAGAGTTTCGTAGACGGAGCCGTCCGTCCACACATCAGTGGGTATCAGCTATTGACTGCTTATACTTCTCGCTTTTTCTTTTTAGATGCACTTATCATTGGCGCAAGTTTTTTTTTCTTTTTCATAGTGTATGTGTGCGTTCGCGCACATGTGCCCTCCTGCGCCGATATGTCTACAGGTTGTGATTATTTGTTCTTTTCGGCATTTTATTTCACTTCACACTCCTTAAACTTTTCTCTCTCTTTTTTTTTTCTTTTTCTTTTTTCCGTTGTTGATATTTGAATTCCGGTTTTGCGACACAGACTGTCGTTGTTAATCTTTGAGCGTTCTCGTCTTTTCTTGAGTTAAAAAAAAGTTGCATTTCATTTTTTACATAATTTTAATGACAGGTACCGATGAACATGTTTGACGGGTACCAATGGTGATTTTTGACGGGTACTAATGAACATAATAGCTTATCTAGAAAGAGAAATCTTTACTATAATGGGTGCTATCACGTAAAAATTGAACTCGTTTTCCAACAGGCTTGCTTAAGAAAAGTGCCTTTTATATAGTTAGTCGGGCACAAGGCAACAATAATGAGACACCCACAAGAATTAAACTGATGATAATAACTTCGATATACAACTCATCGAAATCACCATGGTTGATTTGTCAGGGAGATGAATTCTTGATGCTATCGATCTTGTTCGATCTCAGCGCACGGAAAATTTGGAAAGTGACTGAAAAACAATACCACAGGTTGAGGAAGTTCTTTTAGTAAAGAGTGGGTTGGGTTGTTTTTGGTTCTATTCGTCCGTCTGGGTCATCAAATGGAATAAGACTTCTACACATATATATACACACATATGTATACATGCACATATATTTCTGTCCGTCAGGGCCATACAGCATCACATTGCTTAAAGGCTTCTGTATGTGAATATGTCAGTATATTCACATTTCAAAAAAAATAAAACAGTTTGTCTGATAATAGCAAAAGCGGGAAATCCAGGGTTACAAACTCATACCCATTCGACTGAATATGTTACCTCTATGACTGACATTGAGCGCTTTCCAATAAGTACCGCGCATATATAATATATATAGAAATTATATTACACACACACACACACACACACACATATATATATATATATATATATATATATATATATATATATATATATATAGTTTATGTAAACTTAGGTAATCCGTATGGGTAGACCTGAGGAGGATGATATCCAGAGAGCTCAATGTGAAATTCAGAGCAGATATGTTTGAATAAAAGACAGACCACGTTAAGTTTCCATGTAATAAGCTTTTTAACCATAACCCCTTTAACAGGGTTCTGGATAATCAGAATTTATTTCCAAAAGCTGAAAAAGCTGATTTCAGCTTTTGGAAGTAAAGTCTGATGATCTAGAACCCTGTTAAAGGGGTTATGGTGAAATAGCTTATTATATGGAAACTTAACGTGGTCTGTCTTTTATTCAAACAAATATATATATATATATATATATATATATATATATATATATATATATATATATATATATCCGATGCGATGAGAACGAAAGTAATATATAAATTCCAACGTTCACAGCATTAATCTAAAAAGGGCTCGATGCCGATAGTAGAGCGATAATTATTTATTTATGATAACCATTTTCGATTCTCACCTGTCAAAGTGCAGTTGAGATGCACTGAAACGAAGTTGCATCTTTGTAGTGAGTAAAATGGTTTTGTCTATATGATAAAATTATATATATATATATATATATATATATATATATATATATATATCCGATGCGATGAGAACGAAAGTAATATATAAATTCCAACGTTCACATCATTAATCCAAAAGAGGGCTTGATACCGATAGTAGAGCGATAATTATTTATTTATTATATTAGTAGGGTCAGTTGGGCGCCGTCTGTGAGAAAAATTCACTCCAGAAATTTGGAAACGGCATGCTGTACTGCTTGGCATTCGCACCGGAAGCTATTAGTGGTCAATATATAACCATGGAATATTAGTGTTTGAGCCTTTTATATTATATATATATATATATATGTGTGTGTGTGTTAATAAACCTCAATCATATCTATGTTAATAGACATCTATCTATCTATCTATCTATCTATTTTATCTATCTGTTTTACCCTGTTCTTTCCCTTCTGTCAATCCTTATCTCTTTCTATCTCAGTTTATTGATATCTATTTATCGTTATGTGCAGTCGATATATATATATATATATATATATATATATATATATATATATATATACCTAGTGAGCCAGACAAACCTACCTAGGTTTCACCTAAACAGATCGTCAGGGATATATTTATATATGGGGCGGTGCGTGTGCGTGTGTATGTGCCGAACAATAAACCCATAGTCTAATTACGAAAAATGTATTTAATTTAGGTAAGAATTATTATTATTATTATTATTATTATTATTATTATTATTATTATTCAACATAATGTCTTTCCATATCAATGCCTCAATTCATTGGTGAATAATCTCAATGCACTTAATTCAGTGGTGAATCATGCCGATAAAACATTATGTGAAACGTTCACATCATAATAAAAGTAACAACTGTGTCAGGCTATGAACTTATTGACACACGCCTCCATATGCACATCCCCAAATCGGAAACCGGCAAGGATGCGAATTCTTTCTGCAACAGGCATCGAATAAAAAAACGTAAAATGAGAATTGAAAGGATTGTTCAAAAAGTATTTGAGTTGTGGACCGAGATAAAGCAGAAATTATTGCAGAAGAGACGAAGGGTTCTTCGCTATTCAGCTCTTCTTATCAGCCATTTTTTGACACTGCAGAGGCTGGCATTTTGAACTTGTATTTGATAAACAGGCGGATACCGGTGGAATAGGGGTGGGGTGGGTGTGTTCATATGATACAGGCATTTAAGAAAAGGGTGTGCCCATATCTCAACTTGTATCTGTACGATATATCTAGCCAACCAACTTTATCTATTGACCTCAATATTTTCTATCTATCTATCTATCTATCTATCTATCTATCTATCTATCTATCTATCTATCTAGCCCAGTCTGTTTCCCCCTCTCGATGTCTATCTCTTTCTAACTACCTTAGTTTATTGGTATCTATCTATCTATCTATCTATCTATCTATCTATCTATCTATCTATCTCAGCCTGTTCATTATCTATCTATCTATCTATATCTATCTATCTATCTATCTATCTATCTATCTATCTATCTGTGCAATATATATATATATATATATATATATATATATATATATATATATATATATATATATATATATATACAGGGTGTCCATAGAGTTCGTGTGCACTTAAATAATTTATAACTATTTGTATTTGCAACAGAAATAATTTGTAAAAAGGATTAAAAAAAAAAAGTAAATGTATATTTTTTAAGGTTTTATTGAAATTTTATTTAAGTTTCCACATGTCCTCCATCATTAGCAATACAAAGGGTAATACGATTTTGCAGTTCACGGAAAACATTTACCAACTGATTTACAGTAATGCCTGAAATCACATTAGTTATTTTAGCTATACTTAAAACTAGGTACATTAAACTTTATAACATTTTTACAGATTATTTCTATCGCAAATACAAATATAATTTTTTTAAAGTGCACACGAACTCTATGGACACCTTTATATATATATATATATATATATATATATATATATATATATATATATATATATATATATATATATATATATATATATATATATATATATATATATATATATATATATATATATATAGTGGATACTGTATTTGAAAAATGGAGACCCCATTTATGAGTATCCAGTATAATAACGTTTGAAGCAATAAATGTGTGTGTATCTATAGTGATGGGAATGCTTTTTTTTAAATTTATAAACACGGCCAGCACGTTGTGACCGTGTTCATAGTATTGAATCTTGGCTTATTTTCGCATTATATTATAGAATTTATATATATATATATATATATATATATATATATATATATATATGGGTTTGGTTTGTTTCTGTTTTACGGAATATCAACCTCAATGGGTTATTTCACAAAAATGTATTGCTGGTAATATTTTTTTTCAAAAATATATTGCTGGTAATATTAATATTTTTTTGTCAAAAATGTATTGCTGGTAATATTTTTCCCAAAAAATGTACTGGTGGTAATTATTTTTTGCAGGGAATCCGTTTAGGTGAGTCCAAGGTAGCTTTGCCTGGCTCATTAGGATTATATATATATATATATATATATATATATATATATATATATATATATATATATAGAGAGAGAGAGAGAGAGAGAGAGAGAGAGCGAGGGAAAGAGAGAGCAGACAGTACCCTGAAGATCCGTTTAGGTGAAATACTGATAGGTTTGCCTGGCTCCTTAGGCTTATCTTAGGTTTTGCTCTACTTCGTGTATTGAGCACTTTGTCGTAATTGTCTTTTTACTCCTTTTGATTTTTTTCATTGGACTTGGAGCTTAAACATTGGACAATTGTTTTTGCCTTAGTTTAATGTTCTTGGTTCTTTCTTTTTTTTATTTACCATTTTTCTTCGGTAAAGTAGCAAAGTGGTTGTTTGTTC